TTCGACATGGTATCATATGAGCTATCCAAGTGAAAGTGAGAAGTGGTGACTTTTCTGGACTAGATTTAGGCTGCAGGAAAACCAGTCACCCAAGGGGGAGGGGAAACTGGAAACAGCAGGTGCTTTCACCCTCACAGCAGATTTGCAGGGTAAGTGGTGGTGCCTCTATTTTTTGTAAGTGGGGATAATGACCCAAAGAAGGTCGCAGGAACAGTTGGTGATCATGTTGGGATTAAAGTGAAGTTCACTCCTTGGGTTTTGTTACTCCACAACTAGCGTTCATTCTACCAAAACTTTAGAGATGCTAATTTCCATATTCACCGTCCTCTGCCACCTGTTTCTTCTACTTCACTACTTTCCACCTAAGAATTCCTACCATTCTTTGAAACCTGTTGTTTTATGCCCTTATTTAAATTCATGTCTTTGCAAGATATTGTTATCTTCTTTGGATCTGAATAATTATAAGGCATTCTTTTTTCTCTTAGTATTGTGTTGAAGTGGAGTGAAGCTTTGAATATGTAAAACTTTAATTCTGTTTAAAGTGGAAAGTAAACTAAATGGCAAACTAGGAAAAATTAGGGCTATAGGTAATGTGCTTTACACCTTATATATACCTTTGGATTATATATAATGTGGTTTAAACCTTCTCTTATAAATTTGTGTGAGTTCTTGACATTTATATAGATGTAAAGAATTGAAATTTATATGAAAAAAACTCAGATTTATAAGAAGCTTTCAATAGATAGGCAAAGATGTAAACATAATTCATACAAGGAAAGTAAAATAACAAGCACTTTTTTATATTACTCATTAGATTATGAACAAAGGAATAACACCAAACATCTTTTAAATACCGATTTGTACCTGCTCAGTGGAAAAAACACACACAAATACCCAATCCTGGCAAAGTTTGTTAATTACCAGGGACATTACAAATAGTCGTCTCTTTTAAAAAAGGTATATGGCATCATGGAGTGAACTCTAAAGCTCTTGACAAATTTTAACCCGGATATGCCTGTCTAAAAACTCATTGACTGGAATATGCACAAATGTGTTCATTTCTGCCTTATTTTAAGTAGGAAAACCTCAGATTCAATCTAAATATCTAATATTAGGTGACTAGTTCATTATTAAATATTATGCTGTTATTAAAAAGGTAAAGAGTAGAAAACACAAGTGGCTTATTATGATAAAATATATATACTGATAGCTTCCATATCAGTATGTGTTTTTTATATACTGTATATACTGTTTTTTTATATATACACAGTATATGTAGTTTCATATATACTAATAGCTTATGTATTTTTTCACATATATTATACAGAGTGGAAAGAATATGAAGAAATCAAAATTGTTAATGGGTTAGGGTGCTGGAATTATAATTATTCAGCTTTATCCTGGATTTTAAGAAAATATTTCTGCTTGAATTGTACAGTTCTTTTTCTTCTGTCATTATCTCACAAAACAGATTTAAAGGGTGTTTGGGTTCCACCATTAGAGATACCTCTTAAAGTCCAAAGGTCCGTCTTCAGTCTTGTATCCTAAGCAATAATGATGATAAATTGTCATTTTGATTCAATATTGTTGACATCATTTAGGAAATAACTTGTTTTATTTTGAGATTAGGAACCACCCAACAGGTCAATAATATGTGCTTTAAAATAAATATTTTAAATTAAATAATTAAATATTTTATTGTAATACACATACAGAAAAGTAATTTTAAAGCTTAAGAAATTATTATAAAGGAAACAGTCTTGTAACTACCATACTGGTGAAGAAAAAGAATGTATTCCATCACCTCAGAAATGTGTCCTGCCCTTCCAGTCTCCTCTTCCCCCAATGTAACCACTATCCTGACTTTCCTGGTAATCTCCTCAGTATACATCCCTACACACTTTAGTTTTGCCTGCTTTTGAACTTTATATAAATAGAAATGTGCTGGTTTTATTTTACAGTATCTTTAATAGGAAATATTAATAGGACTGTGTATTAACATAGGTTTTATGAAACTTTTGCCTTTGCTTTTCTGTTTCTGACCTGGTCTTAACTCTGGCTGTCATGTCAGAGGCATGTCTCTCAAGAGGGAACATTTAGTTACTGTATTATGGATCTCCCTTCGTTTATTAATTGAATTGCTTTCTTCATAAAATTAATCTATTTCTCTTAAAACTTGTATATGTTTCTTTCATTAACCTACTAATCGAAAGCTGCTTTGTCATTTCTGCTATCTAACATCTTTAGAGGTGTATCTCTTTTTCACTGAGTTTCCTTATATAGAATATGATCGTGAACAGACTTAATCGTTTATCTACGAATTTCTGCAAATTTAGAAGGCAGACTATTTATAGCAAAATAAAATGTCTGAAACTTAGTTAAATAGACAACTGATTGCTTTTTAGAAAACTCATTCTATGGGAGATCCTAAATATTTCAAAATCATTTAAATTTTGAGTCTTGCAGGACAAAAGTAAAAGGCATTCAGTAGAAAAGCAATTTAAATATCTTTTCAGAATACCTTATCTCAAGCCGTTTTCTACAGTGCTGAGTGAGATCTGATTTCAGGGTTTTTAACCCCAAACTTTATATTTTAAAATCGTAAAAACTCCTTATATTTGTATGGTGCTTTTATGATTTGGTTTCATGGACATTATTTCAGTTGATTCTTTCAACAACCCAGTATCATTAGAAAGACGCTTATTAAAACTCCATTTTGGGCCAGCCCTGGCGGCCTAGTGGTTAAGTTCAGGGCACTCCACTTTGGTGGCCCAGGTACAGTTCCTGGGCGCAGACCTACACCACTAGTCTGTAAGTGACCCTGCTGTGGCAGCAGCTCACATAGAAAATGAGGAAGATTAGCAACAGATGTTAGCTCAGGGCGAATCTTCCTCAGCAAAAACCAAAAAAACACACAAAACTCCATTTTATTATAATTTCCATGTAGACTAAATATAACCTAAGAGAGGATGTTTGTTGGACTTGCCTGTAGTCACAGGACTAGTGGAGGATGCCTGGAACTTAAACCTTAAACATCTATCCCAGTTTTGTTGTGGTTTTTTCCCCCTGCCACAAGACCAAATATTGCTATGATAGACTGTCAGAAACTAAGCATCTAAAGAAATCAGTATTGTAAAGCAAGGTCTGTTTACCCGGTCTAGTTGATCATGTTTTTTTTTTTCATACTGGCAACATTGGAATTTGATTAGTTGAAAATTCAGGTGAGTTCCATGCCAAATGAATAAAAAAGCAGTTTAACGAGAAATCTTGTTTCTGTGCCTAAAATTAATGACCCGTATGTCTTAATTTTTAGCTGCTTATAAGCTTTTAAGATTTTGACTATTTCATGGTGAAGAAACATTAGCCAGCTTCTGACTGTTTTGGGGGAAAAGTGGGAGTTGTAGTCTCAGTCACCTGTGGAGTATGTCTAGGCCAGTCTTTGCCTCTTGATAAAACAAAGGGTAAGTAGGCTTGAAAGGAAGTTGTAGTTAAAAGTACTTAGTCTGCCATGGAATATTGCTCAGCCTTAAAAAAGAAGGAAATTTTGACATATGCCATAACATAGATGAACCTTGATGACAGTAAGTGAAATAAGCCAGTCACAAAATGACAAATACTATATGGGTCCACTTACATGAGTACCTAGAGTGGTCAGATTCCTAAGGACAGAAAATGGCGTGATGGTTGCCAGGGCCTGGGATGAGGGGAGAATGGGAAGTTTAGTGTTCAAGGGGTACAGAGTTTCACTTGGGAACGATGAAAAAGTTCTAAAGATGGATGATAGTGATGGTTGCACAACAACGTGAATGTACTTAATGCCACAGAACTATACACTTAAAAAATGGTTAAAATGGTGAGTTTTATGTTACTTATATTTTACCACAATAAACATATGAAGAAAAATTGCTTAGTCTGAAATAGGAACACTGTGGGCCCTTTAGGGTAGAAAGCAAAAGAACGTAAGGTCAGTCTCACCTGCCAGAGTGGGCACATGCAATTTTTTAAGGTGACTCAGAGCATGGAGAAGGGAATATGATGGTAAAATTTAAGTATGTCATTCTTCAGGAACATTTCAGGATCTGGGTAGATTTAGGAAAATTTAAAAATCTGTAGTAAAACCTCACCAATGTGGACCACATGGAGAAAGGATGATTTGAATCTGTAAAATCTGCATTCTTTCTAAAGTAGTTTTATTTTTGAGTATATAACCAACTCAAAAACTGTGTACATATATTGTTGGCTGGCAGAGAGGTCTTTGATGTCCTTTTTAATGCTAGATAAGGATTTGTAATTAAGGCATTTAATTATTGAGCACCTTAGTAGTTGTGGGAATATTTTTTGAATGGATATTAACAGATGTTCACAAAGCATTTCTATTTCTCTTAAGTAGATTTATCCCAAATGATTTGTATTGATACATCATTTCTTATTTTTATAATTTAAAAAAACTGAACTATAAGTTTATTTACAACCTGCATCTTTATTTAGTAGTATCTGAATTTAATGGAGTTTTCTCTGTAGTTTTATGTTCTGATTCTTTTAATTGTTATGGATATCTCCGAAAAAATTAGGTCATAGAAATAGTCCTCTTATGTTTTTTATCAAACTGTCACTAATATATAATAAATCAAAAATCCTTAACTACTGAGATCAGACAATGTGTAAATTTCAGTTTTTGCTGTTTTTAGTTCTATAGGTCAAATGAAAACTAAGCATGTCATAATGTAGTGTTTTTGAATGCCTGGTAAAGATTCTGAATAATGTGTTTTTAATATGTAGGCACTAAGTAATCTATAAAATATTTACTGACATTTTATTGTAATTCTTTATGGCTTTTTCCCTAGTCAATTTCTATTTTAAGAAAGCAGATGTAAAAATAGAAGTTAGCAGTCAAATAGAAATTGATACGTGGGATTTGGCTATTTGTGATTTTTGTATGTGCACATTTTTTATCTTTGACTGCTCTGATGGAGGAAAATTCTTTTTCATTTTAATTTTAGTAAAAAATCCCAGAAGTGGGATGAAATGAACATCCTGGCAACATATCATCCAGCAGACAAAGACTATGGTTTAATGAAAATAGATGAACCCAGCACTCCTTACCATAGGTAATGTGTAGACATCATTCCTTTTCTGACTTGTTCCCTTTTGCCTTTAATATGCGTTTCTGGATAACAGCCAATTTGAATTTGTTTGTTTTTACATTTGTTACTGGAACACTAATTACTAACCCAACTGCATATTTTTATGTAATAGTATAAGTATTATGTAACTTTAAAATTATAGAATCCACTTCGTACATTATAATTGTAGTAGTAAATGTTTATTTGTTGTACCTCAGTGGTCCCTAACTGCTAATGATGCACACAGGTTAGTGACTTTTGCCTTCCTTAAAATAATCTATTTATAAAAAGGAAGATGAAGATGGGCTTGTTTGCTTCCTAAGTAGGAACCAGAAGCTTACTCGGTGTTTTGCAGAAAAGGATAACTTCACAAATGGTAACTCTTTTTTAACCCATTCAATGACAAGTGATCATTACTACTGTGTCTTTATTTTTTAACTTACACAATGTAGTTCAGATAGTTGCATTGTGATTGGCAGTTTTGAGTCTTCTAGAATGTTTTCACTGAACTGTAAAGTGACAGCATGTGGCAGTAATTAGTATTACCCTATACCCTAACTTGTATGGAAAAAAATAAAGATTTCCAGAACTGAAATATTTTGTCATTGAAGTAAGACAACATAAATGCGGAAGTTAGTATTAAAATAGAGTTATGAAATTCTTTAAGTCAGTGGATGAAAACTTTGAAATATAAGTTGAGATAACTTGGTAGTAGTAAAAACAAGAATAAACACAAAGATTCTGACAAGGGTAGAAAGAAATAGTGAAATAGGTACAGATACTGAAACTGAATATTAATAAAGCTTGAGAGAAGGAATAAACCTATCATTTATGAAAACTTTAAATCCTTATTTTTCTCCTAGTTATAAGCATATAGTTTAAAACATATCTTAAAACTTTTATTGTCCCAGAAGCCAAAGTCAGGGCTTTCTTCTTTTTCTGTAAAGGTAGTAGACATCCCTTACTGATCTCTGTTGGTTGGAGATAACTATCCTAGAAGAATTAAAATCAGTCATGGTTTAAAGAAATAGCTGTAGCCGTTATTTTTAGATTGTTTAAAGTATTGTAAATCTGAATGATAGATATTTGATACTGCTTTTTTTCTCTTTTTCACATTACCCATATCCTTCCTCTGAGAGTCGCTAAAGTTATTTGATCCCTAAGCAATCGAGGCTGTATGTATGTACAGATATAAATGTTCAGCTTTTATCAATTTAGTGCTCAGTTTTATCAATTCCTTTTATGGAATTTTCTGTTCTTTTTTTCTTCTTTGAAGACTTTTATTTAACAGAAGATGATACTTTTTATAGAAATACGTTATCCTATGTAAGAATCTCACTCTAATATAGACACACAAACCCATAAATATAATTCATCTGTTAATTTTATAGCATAACCTAGAATTTTCTATGGAACAATTCTACAAATTGACAGATTATTTTATCCTCCTCTGCTTAATCATATCCAGTAACGTACGTGAGTTTATTTCAACCCTTGGAAAAAAAGAGCATCATTTAAACTATAGCACTTATTTAACTTGTCTCCTTAACTAACTAGTAAAGGTATAAACAAGCAATTTTTTTAATATATAACTCAGTTCTGCTTTATACACCTTTCAGTGGCTTGAGAATTAAAGATGCCCAACTTTGCAATTAAGTGGGGAGCAAATTTTCATTAGGGGGTAGATTGGGTAAGCTAAATAGCTTTTAAACTTCTTAAATTAGGTTTTTAGGATCAAATTTATTGTTTTACCTAAGCTTATGTCTGCGTAGATCATTTGTCTCTGTCTTCAGGTTGATGTACAAATACGTTATCTAAAACCAGACCGTGGCGGGGGGGATTTGCATTGTTTTTCCCTCCCACTGGATGGAATAATTGAAGTATTTCAATTTTTTTCAGATGATTCAAGTTTTCAATATTTATTTTCATGGTTGCAGTAGTGGTTTTTTAAATCATTTGAAGCCTTTTCTTGATTTGTGCTATGCTTTTAAATATTTGCCTTAAGTAGAAACTATTTAAAATTCAACTTCAAAGATGACAACAGAGCTATAAATATGTTGATATTTTAACTAAGTCAGTAGAATTATGTTTCTCTACTTTGTTTTTCTGCTTGAAAAGTTGTAGTTCAGGTATTAATTATAATGTGCATGTCATCTCAGTATGGTCGGTGATGATGAAGATGCATTGAGTGATTCAGAAACCACTGAAGCCCTGACCCCAGATATCTTAGCTAAGAAGTAAGTACTGATGACAGTAAAGCATTTTCACTTATGCTGTTTTTAATTGTGCAAACTTAAAGACGTTTTACTTTACTCATACAAGTGTAAATAAAAAATACATGCTAAGTTTATCTTCATTTTTTATAGTCTTGTTTCTAGATGCAAGTGACAGAAGGGTTAGAGTGCCAGAGCCTGGTGCACCGGATTCCTTGTGTCAATTCCCTATGTTTTCTCTTTTTTTAAAAAAAAATATCCTGCCACCTGGGTTTTAAAGATGAAATGAGAAAGGCAAAAATAAGTGAATTTGTAAAACTCTATTCCTTTACTCTTCATTGATTTGTCACCCTCCACTCTTCTTATTGTTTATTGGTTTCTACACCCATTCTCATTCTTTTGCTTTTTATTTTCCTCATCAGATTATAGCTAGCATATTTTGATCTTTAGATGTTTTTATGAGACTCAAAACTTGAAAAAGACACTCAACTAATATGACAGTATCACCATGTTGATTTGTAAATGATTCTTGTACAGATTAGCTGCTGCTGAAGGCTCGGAGCCAAAGTGTCGGCTTCATGAACAAGAAAGCAGTGGAGATGAGGATAGTGACCTCTCACCTGAAGAACAAGGTAGTTTCTTTCTTTTACTGCTTTCAGCATTATGCTAGTAATTTTTGCTAAAGTAAATCCAGTATTTGGGAGATTGTCAAATGATTTTCCTTTTTGGGAAGTGGATGGTGGGAGATTAGGGAGCTTGATATTTATAATTCAGATTCTACTTGTGTGGATTTGTTGTATAACAGCTTTTTTCCCCTTGATTTCAAGAATTTGGGAAAATATTACCTTTTTAAAGTAATTATAAGTGTTCCTTTCTTTGTACTTTTTTCAGTGCCTGATAAAGAGTAAATGCTCAGGAAATACTTATTAAATTAATGGTTTTAGAGTCATTGAGTGTGTGGATGGTCTTCAAGTGGATAGCAGTAAGAACTAATTTCCCAATTGCTTGTGTCTTAAAACAGTGATGAAACTTACCACATGAACCAAGATGGTCACATGTAGAGTGAAAATTTTTATTAGGTCTCATCAAACAAAAAGAACAATAGTGTCCTAGAAAGGGGAGATAAAGACAACCCTCTCCACGGGGCTGGAAGAGGCTCCTGTAGCCCATACAGCACATACACAGTACAGGATTACTACCTGCCCATGGCTTCTGCTTGCACAAGTAACAGTGGCTATCTGTTGAGGGAAGGAGAGAAGGAAGATATTCTACCATGTTGCTATTTATACTTTTTGAACCATGTGAATGTGTAGTCTTCTCAAGAATTAAAAATTGTTTATATGGTTTATTTTCAACTATTTTTAAAAGGAAAAACCAAGCCTATATGTAGGGAACAAGCAAAACAAAAACAAACCACACCTTCATAAAAAAGAAGAGAGTAGCAGTGTAGTTGAAACCTTGAAATGCATGACTACCTGTACTGTAAAGAAGTTGAGAAACTTTAGAACTAAGATTCCAAACATTTGCTAGTTAACTGTCAGGATCTTTGTCATGTGTAGCTGCTGAGGTATAATTTGCTGTTCCTTCCTGTGATCTTCAGAATATAGCTTATTCAACAACTATGATAGTCTGAGCTTAATTGTTGTAGAACAGAGCAGTTTTACATATAGCATAATCTCAAGTTGTATTATTATCTCTTCTACCCTCAGTGACTTCCTGACTTATTTCCCAAAAACATATCCCAAAAGGCCCTTGAAAAGACTTTCAAATAGAAATTGTTTCTGGAGCTGGTTTTCATTATTCTCTAAAAACAAGATCTATTGAGAACAAGGAATTTATTATTAACTTGTATTGTCAGTTTTTATTAGGGGGTTTTTCCTAAAGTTGTAGTTCCATGAATTAGCCAGCAGGGGGAACTATTTGACCAGTTACAATTGTACAAATTGGGTTCCCACTAGTAGAGGTATTGATGCATCTAGGTGTTTATTGCTTTTAAATAAATTGCATGTTTGAAAATCTTTGTTTATTGACAGAAATTCTTAGAAAAAATTATCTTGTAACTGATAGCATGATAATTAAGAATTTGGCTATGGAGTCGGTCAGATCTAAGTTTGTCTTAGGTGTCACTTGTCTTATTTGCTTAATTTCTCTGAGCCTCAGTTTCCTCATTTTTATAAATTGGTAGCTATAAAAATTGGTGAGTGTTAAATGAGATAAAGAATTTAAAGCAGTTAACACTGCTTCTGGCATATTGTAAGTGCTCAGTAAGTATTAACTTTTAGTAGCTTAAAATAATTGGTATGGGGGCCGGCCCCATGGCCAAGTGGTTAGGTTCGCGCATTCCACTTCGGTGGCCCAGGGTTTCAGCGATTCAGATCCTGGGCGAGGACATGGCACCACTCATCAGGTCATGCTGAGGCGGCATCCCACCTGCCACAACTAGAAGGACCCACAAGTGAAAATATACAACTCTGTACCAGGGGGCTTTGGGGAGAAAAAGGAAAAATTAAAAAGAAAAATCTTAAAAAAAATACTTGTAACTATTTAAAAGCTATAAAAGTCTGCTATGTACATCGCAGAATTTTACTATATTTTCATATACTTTATTGTCTAAACTTAAAAAGTCACTATTATAAATAGTCCCATCAGACAATAGGCATAAATTGAGACTTCCCTGGGCAAACTGGGACATGTGGTCATCCTAACTATATAGTAATTGAAAAAACAGCATATACAACAATATATGGTTCATTTTTAGAAAAAATCTAAAGTTATAAAATGTTAATGGTAATGTCTTGAGTGAGAAAATTGAGTCACTTTTTTTTTTTAAATTTCTGCCATGAATGTGTGTTACTTTGTAATGAAAAAAAAGGCATTAGCCTTTTTAGTAAATTTATCTGGTATTAGAGCCAGTTAGAACCATTTTTTTGTTTGTTTTTTAGTATTGGCTTTTACATCATCTGAATACTTGAAAGGCATCACTAAAAATTTAGTCAAGAGGATTTGATCTTTTTATTGGTCTCTTTTTTGATTTTACTTCCTCTACAATATGGTGCTCACAAATTGTGAAACAAAGCACAAAAGTAATTTATAGGTAGAGAAGCAGAAAGATGCCTGGCAAGATCTTGGTAGTTTGAAACAAATGTTTATGGGACGATGATATGGATGTTGGTCTCAGAACTTCCCTTCTCTCAACCCAAATAGAGGCTGAAAATTAGTGGAATTTTTCTTTATTAGTAGTGACATGTAGATCAGTAGTGACATGAACTGTAAATGCGTGTTTTTAAAACAAATAAGTATAGATGATGATAAAAACTTGGAATTAGAGGACGTTGAGAAAGTACTTTGATACCCTTATTTTGAGAGATTTCTTTATGCCTTTTTGGCATTAAAATATTTTTATGGGGGCCTGCCCAGTGGCGCAGTGGTGAAGTTTGCATGTTCTGCTTCGGCGGCCTGGGGTTCGCCTGTTTGGATCCCAGGTGTGGACATGGCACCGCTTGGCAAGACATGCTGTGGTAGGCATCCCACGTATAGAGTAGAGGAAGATGGGCACGGATGTTAGCTCAGGACCAGTCTTGCTTAGCAAAAAAGAGGAGGATTGGCAGCAGATGTTAGCTCAGGGCTGATCTTCCTCAAAAAAAAAGAAAAGAAAAGAAAGCTGGGGTAGCTATAATAATTTCAGACAATAGATTTCAGAGCAAATATAATACCATGGAAAAAGATCATTTCATAATGATAAGTCAATTCATCAAGAGGATATAATAATCCTAAACATTTATGCACCTAATAACAAAGCTTCAAAATATGTGAGGCAAAAACTAATAAACTTGTGGGACAGCTCTGGTGGCCAGGTAGTTAAGTTCAGTGTGCTCCACTTCGGTTACCAGGTGTAAACCTACACTGCTCTGTTAGTGGCCATGCTGTGCTGGCAGCCCACATACTAAAAATAGAGGATGATTGGCATGGATGTTAGTTCAGGGCCAATTTTCCTCAGCAAAAAAGAGGAGGATTGGCAGCAGATGTTAGCTTAGGGCTAATCTTCCTCAAAAAATATATATATTTTTATGAGTATCATAATAAAACTATGGTGACTGAGTTTAAATGCTCTTGTTTGGCAAACAGTTGGCAATTTTGCATCAGCCTGCTTTTTTGTTTTTTAATTTACTGGTCTAAGAAATTTTAAATGGTTGATCGTTAAAGAGCTATTAATAAAATATCAGTTATATTGATTTGCTGCTCGTTTTATGTTTCTATGGTGAAGACTATAAATGAAAGAGTAGTCTAGAATCACTTCACTATTCCTTATAACAGGTTTTTCTTAAAATTATTCTGGGAATGAGGTTATGTTTTTAGCCAGCAATGTTTTAAATTGTGGCAATTTCTTAATGGATAATAAGAATTTTTAGTGGAATTTTTCTTTATTAGTAAAAATAAAAAACTTGAAACTATTAAAATTACCCCGTCCTTCCTTGACCCAGAATTCACCACTGTTAATTGTTGAGTCTTATTTTCTCTGTGTGTGTATATGCATGCATGCATGCATATGCATGCAGGCTTTGTACATTATGTATGTTTGTACATTTTATATGTATATATATAATTTTCCTGTATCTTTAAATTTTCTTCCCAAGTATAACTACTAATGGCTTTTATTTCTAGTCTCCCTTTAAGATATACTTGAGGGGGGCCAGCCCGGTGGCGCAGTAGTGAAGTTCACACATTCTGCTTTGGCGGGCCAAGATTCACTGGTTCAGATCCCGGGTACAGACATACGCACCGCTTGTCAAGCCACGCTGTGGCAGGCGTCCCACATATAAAGTAGAGGAAGATGGGCACGGATGTTAGCTCAGGGCCATTCTCCCTCAGCAAAAAAAAATAATAATAATAAAAAAAAGAAGGATTGGCAGTGGATGTTAGCTCAGGGCTAATCTTCCTCAAAAAATAAAAAAATTTAAAAAATGGCTGGCCCCATGGCTGAGTGGTTAAGTTCACACGCGCTGCCTTGTGGCCCAGGGTTTCACCAGTTCGAATCCTGGGCGCAGACATAGCACCGCTCATCAAGCCATGCTGAGGCGACATCCCACATGCCACAACTAGAAGGACCCACAACTAAAAATACACAACTATGTACCGGGGGCTTTGGGGAGAAAAAGGAAAAATGAAATCTTAAAAATAAAAAAACGTAAAAAAATAAAAAAGATGAACTAGCAGAGGTTGGCAAACTTTCTGTAAAGGACCAGATAGTAAATATTTTAGGTTTTCTGGGCCTAGTGATCTCTATTGCTGCTACTCAGCTCTGCCATTGAGCACAAAAGTAGGCTTAAGCATTACAAACACGAATGAGCATGTCTGTGTTCCAGTAATACTTTACTTACCAAACGTGGGCTGTAGTTTGCCAGTCCTTAAGCTAAAGATTTCCTAAGCCTATTTTTTGTATCTTGTAGAAAAAAAGCGACAGTTTGAAATGAAAAGGAAGCTTCACTACAATGAAGGACTGAATATTAAATTAGCCAGACAATTAATTTCAAAAGACCTACACGAGGATGAGGAAGATGAAGAAATGTCAGAGACTGCAACTGGAGAAAGTGTGAATATGGAAGCATCAAATGAAGGTTAGATGTTTTGAAAATATCACTGAGACTCTTGTGATCCTTTGTGCCTACGTAATATACTTTATTTTATTTTAAACTTATGAAGAACCTCAGAAAATTTTGTTGAGATTCACTTATTATGTCAAAGTTTCTAAAATTTCAACCCTTGTGGCCAGTTTCAAAATAATAAGGTTTTCACGCCCAGAGTGATTTAAAGACCATCTGTTATGTTATACAGCTGGTGTTTTTTTTTTTGGTTTACTTGCCCCTAAGCAATGATGTTTATCTTCGTGTTGAGCTATATTTTGTTTTTAATGTTTCAGATCATATTTTATCTGTCATAATCTAAATTAAGGTTTAAACTGTTTTAAAGAAGCACTTTTGTCATGGAAGATTTGTTTTAATATCCCTTCAGGTACAAAATATGTCTTATCTTTCCAATGTTGATTCTTTTGACTATTGGATTAAGTTATTGGCTGATTTTTGGTTTTGTTTTCTGTCTTGAACAACCAGCCCCTGCAGCCTACCAACTCTTCTTGATCAGTCCTAGGACACAGCTTTTATTTGTTTATTTTTAATAAACTGTTATTCTGATATTCAGAAGGTGAATAGTCTACACCATTAATGGAGATTTCATGCTTGTTTACCTACTCTTTGTATTTGCAAACTTAGGCTTTTCAGTTGAGATGTAACTTATTTGTTGTGCCTTGGATGGTTAAGTCTTAGGAAAGTAAATAATTATTATATTATTGTTTTGATGAGCATATATGAAATATGAGTAATTCTATGATAGAACCTGATGACCGTGTCTCAGGATTACAGCTTTTTTTGTTATTCCATATTTTGCTTTCAGCCTTTCAGTTTGTTCCTTACATCATTTCATTTCTATTTAATACACCATAGTCATTTAGCTTATATTTAGCTTGAACAAACTTGATTTTGAGTAATTCTTATATGTCTCTCTCTTCTTCTTCTTCAATTTATTATCTGTTTTTAGATGACCTGTCTCCTAATTGGTCTTTGGTTTCCCATTGACCTAGGTCTTGGTGATTTCTTTTGATGTATTCAAAGTGAATGTTTCTTTGGTTATAACTTTTCGTCAATTTCTACTCAGACTTTCAGTGTCATTTCTTAGTGACTCTGGCAAAGCACTGAGAATACCCCTCATTTGCCACTGAAATCTGCACCAGCACCACTGTGCCAGAGATTAAAGGGCGTTCTTTTATAAGCCACAGCTTTTGAAAAATAACTCTGGCCTTTTTTCTCTCTCTGCTTGTAAGACATTAGATTTCATACACTTAGTACATAAATATATTTTTTCATTTAAATGTAATAGCAAATGATTAAAATTTGTGTTAGCTTAGTGCCTGATTTTTCTTCAGTGGAATGAAGTACTCCTTACATAGGAGTATATCCTACTTAGCTTCATAAAGTCCACAAAGATAGGAAAGACTACATAGTAACACATAAGGAAGAAAGTTTCTTATTTATCCTCTACCCTTTTTGGGCCCTTAAAAAATTCTTTACCAGCTTTTAAAATCTCCAGGTTCTATGGAACCCATTAGTCTTTGAGCATTTTCATTCTCCCTCTCCCCCCGCAGCCTTGCCCGTCCCCACCAGTTTTATTTCAGTTTTTTAAAAAGTGTCATGTTTAGACTCTGAGAAAATATTTTACTGTTTTGAGATCATAAATGCAGGTCTTTTTATAGCTCTGGATGTTTGAGTTGTAATAAACTCTTAGCTATTCACCTGTGATTTATGCACAGAAATGTTAAATCTGATTTGTCCTGTCCCCAAGTAGACACTCCTGTTCCGCTCTTCAGAGTATTTAGGGAGTATACAGATTTTCTTTCTCTCAGACTCATTAGCCTGCATGTAATATACCTTATTTGTTCTCTATATTTGTTTATCATCCATGCTCCTGAAAGGGAACTTCAGCGCAGGTAGTTCCAAGGTTGGCAATACACAACAAACAAATTACGTTGACTTTTTTTGTTTTATCTTTGCAGGATCTACTACAAGTGACCAACTGCAAGACACATCACAGAGTTCATAGAAGAGATTTGTCCAACACTGTAACTGTCAAATACAAAACCCTGTTACTATACTATACTGCTTGTTCTCTACAATTCGACTCAAGTACCAAATGCATACCAGTTATTATATATTGCCAAGAATTAAATAACTTTAGAGACTAATTAGACTGAAAATTCCTAATTGATACATATATTCTCGTGCCTAGTACTTCACCACAGATACAGCATAATGCCATCAGTCCAAAACTGCATTACTTTTGTAAGAACACTGGTTAATTTGTATATTATATAGCTTTTTATGCTTTAGAGGTTAAACAGTACCTTTGGGGCGGGGGGGTATCTAATTTATTTTCTTCACTTCTAGATATGATAGCTCTTATAAAAAGTTTTTTTTTAATCAAAATCCATTGGAACAACAGATAATATAGACTGATAAATATTCAGTCTGAAAAGTATTTTAACACGTCTTCAACTTGATTTGTCTGTTTAGTTGAAAAGGATTATAAGAGTTACTGTTGCATTTTCTGACCTCCTACCTTTAAAATTCCTGTTGAGTTGCTTTATGTTTACAAGGAAAGGATTGAACTTTTTCTCATCAAAACTAGCTTTTTTCACAAATTATCAGGTTAAACTTACACCAACGTCTGCTCTGACTTTTCTTTGTACACTCAATGGGCAGACTTCAGATCAGTTTTTAAAATATAGTTCTAATACAGTTTCACCATTCCCTTTATTTACCTTTTTTAACCTCCTGCCTTTGTTTCTTACTCCTTTCCGCACATACGCACACAATCCTTTTTAAGGATCATAAAGATCGTCCTGACATTGGGCACTCTTCCTTCTCTCACATATTCTGTCATTTGCTGCAACAATGAAAATCTTGTTTTGACTATCAATGCCTGTTAGCTCTTCTAATACAGGGAGACAATGGATTGAATAGTAGCAGTACTATAGACAGGAAATATAATTCAACTGCAGAATTTCTACACCTCTCTGATTTACAGCTTGCTTATTAAATTGCTGTTATTAGTTTATTGTTTGACTTAATTAGACCCTAGAAAACAACTAAGAGGTTTTTTTGCATGATGAGAGAACTGTGTGTAACCAGTGATATGATGATAGCTCCTGAATGTATAGACAGAAGTTAACCTGAACACTTTTTAATTTAAAAACTTTAAATAGTCCCTACTTTAAGGAATATGATAATGTATATTATGACAAATGTACTTTATTCTTCTAGTACAGTAAGATTTGAATTTTTTTTCTGAATTGAAGTGCAGGTCCTGTGTATCTTGGTTTAGTGATGGTTTCATTTGTAGTCAGTTATTTGAATCTTAATTTTTTGTTAGTATCAAAAGAATCCATTATTTGAACAGACTTTCTACATAATTTCTGTATGTTGTATATATGAAATGGCTTTTAGTGAACAGCTTACCTTCCACTTGCAAGTTTCTGGAAATATCAGTATGTCAAAATAAAAAGTGGGAGAATTCTTTGGTGTTAGACAAATGTTTTTATTATTTTGAATGTCTTTTTTTTTTTTAATGGGATCCAATCAAAGTACTTCTGAACTGCAGGTATACTATTCCAACTAAAACATATTAGCTAGTAATACTGCTGATTTATAAATAAAACAGTGTTTATCTCTGCTTTCTGAATTTAGAATGTTGAGATATTCTTATCTGTTTAAACCTATTTTGGGGGATTTAAGCTTATGCATATGCTGTGTACATATGTTCGTGCACACAGACCTCTTGGTTTTCTCATTTTGAGTTCTTAGAAAGTATCCACGTACTCTCTATTTGTAGCAATAGCTGCTGCACAGTGAAGAAAAGGTGAGACCTTTAACAACTGATTATTTTGGTGTTTTCAACAAACTTTCTAGAAACTTAAGTCACAGGCAAACTTATTTCTGGTTTCAGGAAGTTCTAGATAGTTATCTCAGAGGAGTAGGACAGGATAATAGCATGTTCAGCAGGATTTTAGGTGGTCAAATGTAACTGAGTATAACTGTTTTCATCAAGTCATGAGTTCCTAATTGACATGGTATTGGATTATGCAAAAAATGAACTTTTAGGATTCAAGTTAGGTTTTCCTTTGGAGAAAGTTATCTGTCAATGTTCAGTTCTAGCCAAGGTAGATTTTACATTCAACTTTTTAATCAATATCACTTCCTCTGCTTAACAATTTTGGTGTCATCTTTTCTGTTTATTCATTTTTCAGTCTGAAATTCAGCAGTGATGCTCTTTAAAATCCAAAACATATAATGGTATAAATGGATTGTTAAGAATAACTTTAAATTGAAGATTAAAGCAAAGTGCCATTTTCCCTAGACTTTCATTTTGTTTACATTTTTTCCCTTTAAATTAGTACACTAAACATGTCATAATAAAATACAGTAATCTGACAATTGCCTGTGTGTGGATTTTATTTCCTTACTACCCAGCTGTGGCAGGGCTGTGTTCCATTGGCCAAGTGTTCTGGATGCCAGGAGAGGCTCTTAGTCTACGTTGTCGCAGAGTAGTTTGTTTCATTGTGATAGAAATGATAACAAGAGCTACAATTTATTGAGAACCTGTTATTTGACCTTGCCCAGCATGATGCTAGGTCTCTAATGTATAATCTTCAAAACAACTGTGCAAGCAGGTGTTCTCAGCACTTCGTAAGTGGGGAAAATGCTCTTGGACAACTTATTCAGTCTCGATTTCTCATACAAGCTAAATGACAGGATTCAAATCCAGATCTAACTAGATTTCATGCTCTTTATCCATGCTTTTTTAGATGTAGAAAATTCTCTCATTTTAGAAGTTACACCTTACAAGTAAATTTTATTTGAATTATTGATAGACATCGTGTGATTTAGGAATAGCATCTTTCACATGTTTAGTGTTTTTGTTTTTTATTTTAGTCTGAAAAATTGGAAATTATTTTGTTTGAGGTTTATATGCCATTTAGGAAAAATCTCAAAAGCACAAATACTCAGTAGTTGGAGATGTCTAAATGCATGTGATTTGGTTGCATTCTGCGAGTTTGTTTCTAAGCAAGATGTTTCAAACTCAGACCATGATTTTTTCATAGAATCAGTGTTATAAAGTAAGTACCAACCTAGCCTATAAAAATTAGCATATACTGGGTGCCAGCCCCATGACCGAGTGGTTAAGTTCGTGCCCTCACCCTCCGCTTTGGCGGCCCAGGGTTTCTCTGGTTCACATCCTAGGCGCGGACATGGCATTGCTTGTCAGGCCACTCTGAGGTGGCATCCCACATACCACAACTAGAAGGACCCACGACTAAAAATATACAACTGTGTACGGGGGGGGGGGGATTTGGGAAGAAAAAGAAAGAAAAAATTAGTATGTACTTAAACTAGCATTTCCCAGTGTGTACTGTGGAAAGGATTCCATGAGCAAATAAGTTTTGTGCATGCTATACACTTGATTCCCCTATCCCCTTGGAGATTTATTCTAATGCACATCATCATATTAAAGGGTCTGAGACATCCTGTGTAAAGAACCTGTTTAAAACTTGGTTTAACCTAGGATTTTTCAAACATTTCACCATAACCACCCTTACCCCGCTTTTGCCTCAAGTAGCATCCCAGATAGAGGTAGGAGAATAGGCTAGGGTCTGTAACATCATGAAAGTTGAACTTCCTCCTGAAAGAGGAAAAGATGGAAAGAGAGAAGACATGGTAGCAATAACTATAGTATTAATGGGTTGTATATAATTTGCCAAACATAAAGCCTTAATTTTGGGTAAGTTACACAAGAAACTGTAAAATACGTATTCAGGACAGATAAATTAAAGGTGGTTGATTATAAGCTACCGTGGTTCAGTATTGATATGACTGTTGCTTAAAGACTTGCTGCTCGAAGCAGTTTTCCACAACGCCTTGTCTTCCCCAATAGCTCTTGCATAACTGGTTGACAGGAGCACATCTGTTGCTCATTTGGAAAATAAAAGAGCAGACAGCAAGTGACTCTGGTTTGTGGCTCACACCCCCAAGCCTTGCTTAGCTGCCCCAACAGAGTGTTTGGGGAGAGCGGTGTTTGGCTCCTACACTTTAAATTTGGGTTTGACTCATCTAGTTTTTTATTTGAGGAATTATTTGGGGGAGGTAATGCTGAGAGTAGGTAAGTGAGGGTGGTTTTGGCAAGTATTTAGTCATGATTTTATCTCAACTGCCCAACCTGAAATTTTTTCCAGTAAGTCTGATGAGTGTGCAGCATTTCAGTTCTATTACCAATAGGAATTGGAAGAGAACGCCTATAAATTTTTGTTCTCTGTTTAATTCTTTTTGGATTGATGACAGAGTGTTGACTAGAAATAGAAGAGGGGGGCCAACCCAGTGGTGCAGTGGTTAAGTGCGCAGGTTCCGCTTTAGCGGCCGGGGGTTTGCCTGTTCGGATCCCGGGTGTGGACATGGTACCGCTTGGCAAGCCATGCTGTGGCAGGCGTCCCACATATAAAGTAGAGGAAGATGGGCACGGATGTTAGCTCAGGCCCAGTCTTCCTCAGCAAAAAGAGGAGGACTGGCAGCAGATGTTAGCTCAGGGCTGATCTTCCTCAAAAAAAAAAAAAGAAATAGAAGAGGATTGTGCAGGCTGATCTTTCGTATCTTGATATCATTTGATCTCACTTTTTAAGCAAAGGGGATTATTTATAAGCAGCTTTGCAGTATGCCTTGGTCTAATCAAATAGTTCAACCTGAAAAAGTGTTACCAGTAATAGACGTAACAAATATAGAAAAAGAAAGTTTAGTGCTACTCTTGTTTAGTTACATTCCCTGGTATCCAAAGTATCTCTTACATAAGCAATTACTTAAAAGACAGAATATGGTTCCTCTCCCGATGTAAGAGTTGCCCAAGTGATAAATAAGCACTGTGTTATGTGGCACCATGCCAACTCATTGAGTCATGTGGACACAAGACTTTCCCTGCCTTCAAAGACGTTCAAATTTACATGGGGGCCGGCCCGGTGGCGCAGCGGTTAAGTTCGCACGTTCCGCTTCTCGGCTGCCTAGGGTTCACAGGTTCGGATCCCGGGTGCAGACATGGCACGGATTGGCACACCATGCTGTGGTAGGCGTCCCACGTATAAAGTAGAGGAAGATGGGCACGATGTTAGCTCAGGGCCAGGCTTCCTCAGCAAAAAGAGGAGGACTGGCAGTAGTTAGCTCAGGGCTAATCTTCCTCAAAAAAAAAAAAAAACCAACAAATTTACATGTACATACAGAGCAGAGAGACTGCTTTGGGGGAACAAGGAAGGAGTAAATACAGAGCAGAGAGACTGCTTTGGGGGAACAAGGAAGGAGTAAGCAATACATTTACCCTCTCTAGCCGTTCTGAGGAGGCCTTTCTGATGGGGAAGGCTGGGCTAATAATAATTAGCAAGACTTTGTTACTTAGCAGATTTTTATGCAGTTTCCCTGAAAATCAAAGTAAGATCTCTATAGTCACCTACCACAAAATTGTTACTTAGCAAGATAGAAAGATCCTACAAGAATCAGAAATGTCGAATGATTTTTCTCCTTAACAGAACTAAATCCAAAATGTTGGATAGAAGTTGAACTTGAAGCAGATTTGCGGATTGTTGCCACTTAAGCATCTGCTACCATTTCAGTAATCCCTAAGTCAGTTTATTGGGAGAAGGGGAGTGGGGTGGGAAGGGTCTGGGTCAAGACCACAATTATGGGTGTCCCACTGTAGTTTGAAACTATCAGGAAGTATGTTCCAGTCCAGTGCTAACTTTGAAAAACAAATTGGTCTATGCTTCCCCCAAGTGGGACTGTCTTGAGTTTTTCATGTTAAATCACAAAGTATAGAATCCAATCTCTCATTCTAAGCTTCAAGCATTGTTCTGTAGACCTAGAGTCATCTGGAATTTTATGGTCTTGACGAGGACACACTGATAAATGTAAAGATGAAAGGAAAAGACGTTTATTTTTGAGAACCTTACTGAACATTTATTAAGCACCAACTATAGGCCCAGGATTTGCTGGGCAATGTGCATAAAAAGGTAAATAAAACACAGTTCTGAGAAAAAAGCTATGGAATTAGTGTGACCAAAATCAAAACATGATAAAAGAGAGGTAGAATTCTAGAGAGGGTTCAGAATGTCCGTTGCTTCCATAAGATGCCTTACAGGTACCAAACACCATGTCCAAAACTGAGCTGTTTATTTTTCCTCCAACTATTCTTAATTGCTCTATCCCCAAATGAATAACTTAGCACCGTGTTCTCTCTTAATGTTGGTTCGCTTCATGCTCTCAAACATGCAAGAACAGTCCATTGGTAAAGCTTTCTGACTCTGCCTCCATGATGTCTCTTAGATCTCTCTCCTCTCCAGTCCTTACTGCAGTATTCTAATCAAGCTGCCATCGTGCTTTACCTGAACTGTCAACCCTCCTAAGTAATTTCCCACTTCCATTATATCTGTTCCCAATTCACTTTCTGTAACAGCCAGCATTGCTGCCCTACTTAAAGCCTTTCTGTGATTTCTCTACCAGCCTTAAGAGTGAGTCCAGGGACCGCCCGTGGCCGAGTGGTTAAGTTCACGCGCTCCGCTTCAGCGGCCCAGGGTTCAGATCCTGGGCGTGGACACGGCACCGCTCGTCAGTCCATGTTGAGGCGGCGTCCCATGTGCCACCACTAGAAGGACCACAGCTAAAAAAAATATACAACTAAATGCTGGGGGGATTGAGGGGGAGAAACCAGAAAAAAAAAAAAAAAAAGAAGATTGGCAACAGTTGTTAGCTCAGGTGCCAATCTTTGAAAAAGAAAACAAAAAAAATGAGTCCAGATTTCTTAGAACGGCTTACAAAACCGTGTGCACTGGCCCCACCCGGCTCTTCAAGTCTTCTTATGCTACTCTCCTGCTTACTTATTATAGTCATACTTTTTTTTTTTTCCAATTTCTCCAATTCACTTTTTTTCCCTTTTTTAGGGCCTAGACACTAGCAAGTCCTTCTGCCTCAAATGCTCTTCAGTAATTCTTCATATGGCTTTTCTTCTCATTATTGAGCTTCAGACATAACTTCTCCAGAGGTGCTATTCCCTGCCCACCCTATCTAAAAAAGATATCTTTCCTGTTCTTCTCAGACTCTTGTTTCCTTATCTGGTGGTTTTGCTTGGTATGTTGCCTGACTTCCTCACTAAATAGAAAGCTCCATGAAGGCAGGAGCTCTTTTACTTACTCCAGTATTCTCAGAGCTTTGTATGGACCAGCTCAATAGAAGCCTGGATAAATGTTTGTTGAATGAATAAAAGGAAGACAATTATTTATAGTGTGATTTACCTTTTCCTTTCTTTTTTACCTTTTCCTTTCTTTTTTACCTTTTCCTTACTATTACCCTTTTGCCTCTTCATATACTTAATGTTTGAATATTAGAACTAGAAACGATTTTAG